AATGGTCCGAGGCGACATAGACGAGGCCCTGGTCGTCAGCAGCCATCGCCGTCGGACAGCGGAATTGGAACACGGGTGCTCCAGGACCTCGGGAGGCTATGATGCTTTGATGCGCATTATCTACCTACATCGATCTCTGGACTCGACGGCTCAAGCGTGCAGCAACGTTATGCCACTTCAATGCGGCTTCTGTATCTCATGTCTGCACGTACGGAACTCTGTCGTTTCGATCGCTGCCGGGCAGCTGCCAGCACTGGAGCAAGAGCTCCACCTCAGCCAATGTTGTCGCAAGCTGCCATCGTGCCAACATTCCCCAACAACCATGCAAGCGAACTCGTTAAAATGCCTGTGTCGTCCTTGAACAGACCTGAAACATCAGTCCAGCTCTCGACCGGGCTTATCCATACGAATCAGCTGCGAAAAGGTGGCAGGATGAAAATGTCACAGCACACGTGGCGCAAACTTCGCGCTCTCATTGTACACCTCCTATATTACAGTAAAACTAGACTGTACATTGAGATCGTTGCATAAGAAGCTTCAAGTGCCGATATCTTTGAGCTGAAAACTTAGGGTACCAGCGCGGGTGGTTTGTTGATTTCGAAAACTGTCTAGCGCAGTGGAAATCGCGACTAAACAAATACCATGGCCATTGGCTCAAATCCTCTGCCCAGTACTGTGTCTGGAGCTTTCAGGGAAAGAAGCCATTTTCGGGGACCGAAAACTCCAAAAAGGGAGCTCACGCACGTTTTTGAGCATTCAGGCGCTGAAACTCCAAAGAAGTACGGCGGGCCTCACAAAGCTCAAAACAAACATGGCCTGAGTGTCCGATTGTCCGCGTGCATGCATCTGGCTTAGTGGAATAGGCGCACATCTGCTAAGAAGCGAGTAAGAAGCGCAAAGTACCCTGACGCAAACCTCCTGATTGCTTGGAGAAATGGAAGCTCACTAGGCTTCCCTACCTCCGAGAAACCGCTTTTTACGCAGTGTAATGTTGCACCCAGTTTAGTGGATGGGACCGCTATTATGCGATGTTCCGAAAATCTCATACAGAACCCCCCATTGTTTAGGGTGGTCCTCAATTATGCGATGTTTGCCCGGCCGGGGTTGAAGGGCGGGGGGCCGGGGAGCCAAAAACTAAAAAAGTTTTGAATAAGAAACTCCGGATTTTTTGGTGTCCAGCCTTATTTAAATTCCTTTTAAAATCTCATTACGAAACAGGCCCCCAAACAATCTTCCAAGGGAGTAGCCCACGAGCTGCCCTGATTCGCTTTAGAAAGTTGTTTCGGTGGTCCGCATTAATGCGGAGCCCCGGCGACCGTGGAGCTACAAAGCCTGGAAAGCTTAGACCCTCAACCTTCAAGGCTTCCCCTCAACCCTCGACCCCTAGCCGCCCTACCCCCAGCCCCCGTCCCAGCCCCAACCCACATCATTCCGGATCCCCGAAAACCCAAAATTGTTTGGGGGGCGGGGGGGGACCCCTGCACAGTCAACCGAGTCCAACATTATTCATCAATGTACATCCTTTTCATTACAGACAGAACCACTGCAACGTACCACGCCTTCTCTCCCCATCGATGCCCTGCACTGCTTAAACTTAACGTCGCTTCGGCACCGCCCCCGCACTAGAGGCAAGGTAGGCAAGGATTGTCATTTCTAGGCTGGGCTGCAGAAACTCGCCGCTACGGCTGAAGATCTGGACCCGGTCGCTGCCACAGTCACAGACGAAGAGGCCTCGAGACAAGATGGGGCAACAGAAAATGCTGAAGGGGTTTGCGTATGTTTGCGTGCATTCTCCATGTCTGTTCTAGGCCAGTACCACGTGCATAAGCTAAGTAGCTGACGATCTTGGGCATCGACGCACATGCCCATGGGCCCCGATAGGGCTCCTGCTTGCACTGTTTGCACAGGGCCTCGGCCGGTGGTGATGATTTGCAAAAGGGGCAGCTGAAACTTGCCCCAAGTCCGTGGAAAAGAAGATAAAGCGAGGATGCGCATCAAACAACAATGAGGAAACCAAAGTCCAAAACAAGCAAATACACATTGAGAAGGCAACACATGGCGCAAAACATCGCAAAACAGCACGTGGACACAACAACGCATAAGCAACCAAAAAACTCATAGTCATGCAAATCTTCTGGCTGCTGACATTCAGGTTTGCATAAGGCCCCCTGCAACCCACACAGCATCACACAGCCACCCGCCCATCAGAAGCGGATCAAAAGCTTGGATCTCATTCTCTTCGTTTCCATCCCCGATCTCCGACATCTTTCCGTTGTTGTGCTTCGGCTTGACGACGTCAGCTCCGAATGGCTCCGACCGATCGCTTCCCGAAATTCATTCAGGATTGGACGGGCGAAAGACCAAGGGACCCAGTGACGATGGCTAAAGTTTAGGTGCCAACCTTTAACGAAACCTAAGAACTCGCCCACCACAGAGTGTCAAGAATTTCAACGGTGTTACAAACTTTCCTGTTGGAATCCCACTTTACGTGGACATTGACATTCCTTGTAGCTAGACATCAAGAATGGGACCTACAGACTACCGGCGTCACGCTGTCTAGGTATACTTCTCCTTTGCAATCCATTCCCTGCGACCCCACCAGCTACACAAGGGAATGGCGTTCAATAGCACCCGTTTGGCCACTTGCAATCGTTTCCCATGGATAAATGATTGAGGACTAAATGCACCACATGCACCTTGAGCCCCTACCCGACCCCCCGAGGCCCGTGGCCTGGCAAGGCTACCCAGTTGTTTGGGATGAAGTGCTGGAAGGCGCCCCCATCGCTGAAGACTTGTACACGGTGGTTGTCCTGCGCTCAGGTGTACGCAGCTGATCACATGGTGGACTCGGACACACTGTTCGGCTAACTCAGGATGCAAGCAACACCAGTTTGCAGTGCTGAGCGGCCTTGTCACCTCGGAGCAAAGGGGTGACGAAAGAAGCATGATCAACTTCGCGGTTAGATCAGTCTTGCTTCAGTGTTGTTCCTTTCTGGTCGTCGTGAGGCCCGCGCTGACCGCCACGAAGCCATCCCGGAAGGTGGCCACGCACTCGGGGTACTCGAACTGTCCAGGGCCCTGGCCGCGGCCGCCGAACTCGAAAAGCACCTCAGTGACAAAGAACCACCCAGACTTCCAGGTGGGCTTAGTCCAATTTAGTCCCGTGCCAATATCTGTCCATGTCTTGTGCGTGGTGTCGTTTAGTTATTGATCATGCAGGCGCCAAAATGCGCCGAACCGCCGAACCACCCCAATCCACACGCAGCACGCGGCTGGTATACAGACAATGTCGGGCACTCTTCAGAACAGTTAGCACGGCAAAATCGAGAAAACGAGGAACTTGGGAAACCGATCTTTGCTTCAGAGCAGTCCTAGGAGAACTTGTGTTGCACTCCTGTTCACCGATTTAATTAGGTCCATGCCCTCTTGATTGTATTGACATTTAGGCTGCCATTCAGAACCCAACCATTGATGACATTGTTAGATCGGTCCATCCAAGATCTCAGCATCTGCTTGTTGACTGGGATGTGGGCACTTCTGGGTAAAAACTACGCCAAACTTGAAACCACGCCATGGAAAATGATACCTTGGTGGACCGAACGTACTTGGATGGAAATCTACTACGGCTCTGCCTGCCCGCCAAGTGTGAGCACCAGGCAGCGATGGTTGCAGCCTTAGAACAATTCTGCAAGAAAAGCTGACAAGTTCCAAATGCGGGAAAATGCCAGATAGGACATTTTTAAAGGAAGTCCAGGCCTCACTATGTCCGTCACTAAGACGTGCCCAACGGCTCGAATCCCGGGTGTCGGGCTGTCTGCGACAATGATCCGGCCCTGCGCAACCGCGGACGAAAGAGCCCAAGGTATGGAAGGAATCAAAATGGAAAATGGAACTGGATTTAAATCCAGGGTTGAACTGGAGTTTTTACTGGGCCCACTTCGAATTGAATGGCTCCCCGAGCGATCCTGCGAGATGCCCGCCCCAAAGGGTCCGTAGAAGGTGCCCGGCGCCAGCTCATTCACCGAGCGTGCGGAAGGCAAACCCAGCTCCGGGCCCAGCTCGATCTGCAGCGAAACGAACACCACCGTGTACAAGATCATGCAAAGAACTCAAAGAACAATTCTCTCGGCCTTGAGTAGCCGGTCCAACGTGTACTCCACAACGACCAGTGTGGTGACACCATGGGCCTACCCAAGCCCCAAAGGAAAGGGAGCAGGCAAAATCTGGGAGCAGGCAAAATCTGGAGCTCATCGTGGAACTTCGTTCCCTCATTCCTTGCCTCAAGGCAGCACATGCCGCTAGGGTCACTGAGGCTCGACACTGCTGCGCCCGCGGGCAGCCGCAGTGCGCCCAATGCCTTCCAAGCAAGATGCCCTCCAACAATGTGGCGGAGCAGAACAGAATGCGTGTATGTGCCTTGGTGTGCGTGCGTGCCCCTGGTAAAATACCACGGGGCGCAGGTAGCATTGAGTCACAGAGAGGATCTGCAGCCAGCAAAGAAACCCCGTTTTGCTGGTGAAATCCAAAGGAATGGAAGAGGCGGCATTGACCATGCCTGCAGCAACATCCAAAATGATTGTTGTAAGGAAGCTGATAGTTATATCATATCAAGTTGAGCACTACACAGCTTCACATTTCCACAATCGGAATCAAAAACCTGATCCAGGTCCAGATAACATGCACGGGTGACCTTTTCAAATTTGCTAAGCCTAGCCAAGCAAACGAGCACAAATCTAGCAAATGGCCTAAGTTGGTGTGTTTTTTGGCCAGGCTTGTGCTCCGGGAAAGCTTGGCCTTTTGGATTGTTGGATCCTTGGATATTTGCGATTCTACATTCCAGGTTAGTCCTGATGTAACATGTCCTAGCAGCTCGAAAAGTGGACGCTGAATGTCACTGCATTAATGGGATACGACTAAGCGTATTCAAAAGGTGTTGAAGAAATGTTGTTTCTCGTATGAAACCTCATAAAAGTCTTGAACAAGCGTGTTCATGTGTTATGTAGGCCTTTTGCTAATAAGCTTTTAGAGGAAAAAGTCTGGATTTGTAGTTCATATACAACTTGTGTGGATTTTCACAAGGATCTGAACAAGTTTTTTCACTTTTCTAGGATCTTAGTATCCACGAGAATGAGGATTGGACCATGTGCACATCCTTACCTGTCGATAACAAGTCTTTAAGACGTTTTTATCATCAAACACTAGCTTCGTTGTGTTACCCACCTGTGAGTCCTGTGTGGCTCCTAATGCTTTACTCGGACGAAGACGTATTGTTAAGATCCCAAATAGCAGCGAAATAAGCATTTTAACAAGAGTAGGACTTGGGCAATAAGTTGGGACGTGGTTGTTGGCTGGTGAATGCCCACTTGAGGGTTAGGCAGGGGCTTTCCCCGATGAAGTGTCCAGACTTGTACTGTTTTCCTTCCCTTCTTAAAAGCTTCTATTGAGGTTTTTAGCCAGCATATCAAACAGACATTTTAAAGGTCACCAGGCTTGTTTTAGCGAAGTGCCCATTCATGACCGTTGTTGATTTCATGTTCTCAGTTAGTAAGTTCGATACATAGAATTTGTATTTTCATCTTACATATGAAGCCCCGGTAAGTATCGCTAATTATGTCTTGGGAGTATACAAGAAGCGTTTCTTTGTGAAGGGGATTACCGCCCTCCCTTCTTTTCTCCCCTAAAAACAACCCAAGATCCAAAGTCCCAAATTCCGGAAATCCAAAATTTCAGACAAAATCTGGCAAAAGATATGGATCTCTGGATTTCCTTTTTGGTTTGGGGGGGGGGGGGGGGGGGGCAGAGGCCTCTCTTGTGGCTATGAGAAAATCACAGCTCCAAACCAACGCGGGGTCGCATTTTGCGCGCAGGGAGAGGGTGGGCAGGCGTGAACTGAACGGGTCAATTGTCGTGACCGCTTCTTGTACTCATCACTCTCGAAGGTATTTCACAAACGTGTCATCTTCATTCGCTTTAACCGCTGTGGCTCTGTACTTGCACGGATGTTCTTCTAGTTTTGATGTTGCTTGGTTCAATCTTGGTCTTGGACTTTCTTGCTCCACGTTTCACGCTCTCAATTGGCATCGGTGCTTTTTGTGGTGGTCTGTCGCTTTCAAAACGCTGGCAGTGCGTCTCCGATTCAATTCCTCATGTGTCGGTGGATTCTTTTTTGGATTTGATTGTTTGTTTTTGAAGGAAGGGCCATCCAATTAAAAGAGCCAGAAATAAAGAATCGAAAACTCCAACAGCACCTAAAAACCCGGGAAGCGCGGAAACGCCCTGCCGAGCCAAATCCGCCGAGGCCGGAGGCCTGAGGCGTTTAGATCCAAGTCTAGGGAACCCTCTCGCGCTGATGTGCGCGGAGTTGTTTTTCCCTAGCTGACCATTGTCCAGCTGCATACGGCGTTCCCACTAAGTGGGCTTACATCCCCCCACCCCATACTTCCCCATACCTCCCACCCCATATACCCCCATTTACCCCCGTATACCCCCATATACCCCCATATACCCCCATATACCCCGATATACCCCCATATACCCCCATATACCCCCGTAAACCCCCATATACCCCCATATACCCCCATCTACCCCCACATACCCCCATATACCCCCATATACCCCCATATACCCCCATTTACCCCCATATACCCCCTCTGCCCCCACAAACCCCCATATACCCCCATGTACCCCCATATACCCCCATACACCCCCATACACCCCCATGCACCCCCATGCACCCCCATGCACCCCCATGCACCCTCCCCCCCAATGCACCCCCCCATACACCCCCACACACCCCCACACGCCCGCATACACCCCTACGACACATGGGGGAGGCGAGGCTCGGATTCTTTTGATTTTTCTTGCTTGGTGCAACTTGGTTTGCTCAGAAAAGCACACGTGTAGCCAAATAAAGACAAATTGTCAGATGTGCGCATTTTCGGCTCATTTGTTCAAGGCAGCTGTCTCTACCTCGCAGCAGATGTTGCGGGTCTTTGTTGACCTGATGTTTTCATTTGCTTACGCTGGGGGGCGGGGGTACAACTTGAGACGTCAATGATGCAGCAAGGCTAGGCTCTACCGGCAACGTGTCTGTTGAGACGTGTTGGGACCTGTAGCCGTGTGACTGCAGAATGTGAGCATACTCTTAACACACAAGCATGTGATGGCAAAACTTTGGCATGGCATTGTTCTCTCTTTCGCGTACCTGCTGTCCCACATCTTAAAATGCCAAACTGCTTTATGTCACAGACAAGATGCTTTGGATCAACACCCACATTTTATTGTCGCTCGCACCTCCAGGCTGAACTTGTTGAACACTTGAATCCGGTGGTTCAGCCTCGCGAGACACACAGCTGGCCCGAAAGTACACGCTCACGCTGCAAGCTTCCTGTGCGTGGGCACGTCAACATTCTGTGGCTGTCAAGATGAAACGCGCCACTAGGACTCAAGCGTGTCGGCCACGAAGAGGCGCCTCAGGAGAGCGCGTTCTTTGGAAATGTAGCACTGTTACGCCTCTGAGCGCTGGGTGCCAGTCGTACTGTCCACGGCCATTCCGCAAGGAGACCTCCGAGAGGGATCACAGTCTTCAAAGTATAGCATGGCCCCACATGGCCCCTGGTGGAAACTCTGAGCCCCGCGCCGGAAGCAGCCCAAGTCATCGCCCTCCAAGCCCAGCACTGCACGCAACTCGCCCAAGCCCGACTGCCGTATCTCCTCGAGAGCCGCCACAAAGTCAATTCCAAGACATTCCAAGTCGACGCGACGAAACGGACGAAACGAAAGCCAAAAACAAAGCAGCCGAAGGCGCGTATGTCCTTGTCACTGGAGCTTTGAACTGTAGCCCCTCCCAGTCGTCGGATCAGCACCTCAGATGTGACAGAGCTATCTTAGCGAACTCTCAAATCCAGAAAGCAGCTGCGACATATGTACAATCTGCCACAATCTGCCACTACCTTCCCCTTTGCGAAACATTTCGAGGCACCTTGGGGCTTGCTTCGACCGGTTTTGGCTCCAGGGCCTCCGGGGAATGACCATGTACAGAAGGGACAGAGGGGCGGGGTCTTGTCCGCGTCGCTGCGTCGCGACTTATGAGTTGCACGATGTTGCACGGCTTCAATATCGGTTCGAATGACGTCGAACGTCGCAGAGTCACCCATCCGCTGTGTTTTACTGGAAACTGGAAACCTCCAAGGATGGAGGCCGCTGGCGTGTCAGCCACACAGTCCATGCAGGCTCCACATGGCTCCACAGATGCAACTGACCCGCAAACAAGTTTAGCACAGATTGGTCGCAGGAGGCCAAAAAGTTCCTCGGGATCCCTAGGGGCTTACAGGTAAGCGATGCGGATGAGACATGTCAGCCAAAGTTCCAGGACAAAAAACCCTAATCAAACTAAGAAGCAACATGTACGCTGCGAACTTCTCGCGCTAGAGCTCGACAAGAACAAGCAGTTGGAATGGCTCAGAACTGATTTTATCGAAAATTGACCCGAAATCTCACAGGACCCACTCTCCACTCTAACGGTCTGCTCTCATTCTCAGTTCCAGGGCCAGAAAGATTCTTCAAAGCCTGCCAACCCACTTCTCTCAGCAGCCACGTCTGGGTGCTTATCTTGGCCCCTGGGAAATATTTTATCTATAGTTTTGGAGATTGGAAATATTCTATCTTCGTTTTGGAAACGGTGTGTTTTGACGGGATTTGAAAAATATTCTTTCTACTTGAGGATACCTATATGGGCGAATGCCTATATGGGAGCCTTTTGCTTGACCTTAAGGCCATGCTGTGCACGTGGTCCGGCCCAGCAAGCCTAGAAGAGGATTTCAGCGGGTCTGGAACCTTCCGAGTTTATACTGTCGGACCATCCAAGCCCTGTGATCATGCACATCCGCTGGCTTCTGCTTCACTTTCACCAGTCATATTGGCTCATGCGAAAATCAGTACTTCGGGTCTAGTGGTTTTTTTTGCCCAGGATTTGCCTTGGGTTTCGGAGGTTCAGGTTCGATTCCTGCTGAGGCCAGGGTCTTGCAGAACTACTGTAGGCAGGTCTAGTTGCCCGGGAGGCTGGGCTGAGCGTTCAGAGGATATGCCCATAAGATGCTGGGTGCTCGCCTGGTACAGCGAGATTGGCCGCGGCAGGTCACGCTTCACCGCATCCACCAAAAAGATCCTCATAGGTTCTCTCCCTTTCTAAGCTCGGGAGTTGTGCCAAGTGTTAGGAACTTGCATTGCTGCGGAATCGACCATATAAAGAAATATATACATATATGTATATGTATATATATATATATATATTTATATTTATATTTATATGTGTGCCAACCCTTCCTGGAGGATGAGGGGCTGCAACGCAAGCTACGGTAAGGGGAGGGAGCTCAAGCCAGGCATGAAGTCTTACAGGATGCTCCCGGGAGTTGCAACATTTGCAACTTCAACACATTTCAACACCCTCCCAGCCCAACAAAAACGAGCGCAGAGCTGCCGCAACCCCATGCACCCCCCGCCACCCCACTGCATTTCTTTAGGGCTTTAGTACTCTGTTAGCCTCGGAGGCTACAGATCCAATGCGCAAGAATCAAGATCAAAGGCTGAACTTGGGCCCTTGGGCCTAAAATCTTGGAGCTTCTTGGGCTTCGGATTCTGGATCTTGGCATTTGGGCTTAGATCATCTTAGATCTTTATTCCCCCCAAATCACCGCACACAGATCGTATGTATAAATGGATGAATAGCTGCTTGTTGTGATCATTGGTGAAGCCATGGGAGTCGAGGACTTAGACTAGGAGGCAGGAGAAGAGGCGTAGTGTGTAGGGATAGGACCTGATAGGAGATGATGAATAAAGTGTTCAGTGGATACACACGAACATGCTCTCCATGCACGCTGCACCTGTGCTGTCCAATGCAAGCATACAACACTGCTGGTGCTCCGATACCTGCTGAGAAGTGCGATCCTGCTGCAGAGGACCCTGATCATTGCACGTCCCTGCTTGACGTCAGCTACGCATCTTTTGCCGCGCAATTTACACAAGAAGACAGATCGATAAGGCATAGGGGTCTATGGCTTTCTGGATAGGGTGGGTCTATTCTGAGGGTAGTAGGGGCCTACGGTTTCGTGTCGCGCTTTGTCGTACAAGCTTCAGAGTTTTAACGGCCTCAGGCTAAGGGTTGGAGGGGAAAGATCTACGACTGTGAACATAGTTTTCGAAGGCGCATAGCACGCGTCATGTTGGAGCCTCGCGTTTTCACATTCAGCCCTGCCCTGCGTCAAGTTGGCTCCCGGTCTCTTAAATGCGCCTAGTATGGGTCAGTTTGAGCCTCGTGTTCCCTGATTCGGCCCCCCTCAGGTGGTTTGTCGATTGCAGCCTGGGGTTCTCCGATTGGAGCCTGCCCGTTTTCGGATTCACGATGGGTTGATTGGGGCCCCCGTTTTCCGATTCATGCTCCGCTCCTTAATGAAATCTTGGGTGGAGAAGAGGTGGACGTAGAGGTAGAAGTGGAACCGAATAGTGAGGATGGAGGAAAGAACGAATGAAGCCTGGATTTATTTTGAAAACCTTGACATACGAAAAGCTTGTAATAACATTCGAGCACACTCACCTAGTTGTATTGATGTGCTAATACTGCCCTTATATTAGAACTTTTCTGTATGTAGATTACACACAAGATACAGTGATTCCGTCGTCTTGAATTTATGAAGATCGAAACAAACGTTTATCAAACCACAGCTACTGAGTTCCTGCTTCGGATCCTTACATGCCACTTAGATTTTGCATTTCAAATTGTAGCATTCATTAACTCCATGATTTAAACAATTTTTCGGCCGATTGATAAGTAGTTGGTGTGCGAAGCGTTGCTGCCCGCGGCACGAGACAGCACTGCACCTTCTGTTTACACGTACGAAGCCTTAGCAGGCATGTGAGCTCGGAGGAGCCCATGCTTTTTGGTCTGAAAAATGGCCGGCTGGCTTGGTCAAGTAGTTAAAGGATTCGAGGTCACTGCCGTACATTTTTGTCGGCTTCTCTGCGCATGTGTCCCCGTCGGCGATCTCCGGTGTGTACCGGCAAACTGCACTGCTTCATGGCAGTCGTGTCTGGAGCACTGGCTTTCACAGTCTTAGCATCAAAAACAAGTGTTGTTTCAGGCTTATACAAAGGTTGATGCTTAGGGTCCAGGGCTACGGGTTTTAGGGCTCAAGCTCTGGCCAAGGCAAGCGCTGGCAGCATGGACGTTATCATGGGTATGGATATGTATGGATGCTCTGCCAGCATGTTCTTGCTTGAACGCATTAATCATGTATATTGACAGAAATCCAGAAGTTGATTTTTGTAGACTAACAATACTTTTTTAGATTTTTTAACGTTACGTTGGGGCCAGCTGAAAACGGTGGACCACTTGGAGGAGCTTGTACATATGTGTATATATATATATGGAATTTGCTTATTATAAAATTATTTATGTATGTTTTTCTTTATGAATTTATTTATTTCTGTATTTATCTATTTCTGTATTCATTTGTTTATCTGTTTATTTACACACACACACACAGAGATATATATATATACATATGTAACAATGTAAGCTACATTCATGGGCACATGCCGGCCGTATGTCCGATCGTGCATTGTCCGTGATCGTCAGGTGGCCTCCTGGGTTCTTCGTCGTCAGCACAGTATGGCGTGGAAGCGATGCGCTCGGGCCCACTCGACTCCTGGAAGGCGCACCGAGCACGACAACGCCAATTCAAGTTCTTGGATGTTCTTGGGGGACCTTTTTCATGGCCCTTGCCTCGACTCGCTCCTTCGGCTCCTCCATTTCAACCTTCAGCTTGGGGCCTGAAAAGCCAAACACAATCACGACGCCCCTGCTTCGTGATGATCCCAAGAGGCCCCAAGGCGCCTTTGGCAATGGCCGCCGCCATCTGTGAGATTTCCTGGGCGGCGGCTGCCACGTCACCTGTTGGGCAGGCTGCAGCGCTGCAGAAGCTCACTATAGCCGCTGCAGCCTCGAATTATTCACTGATGCTTCATGATGCTCTGGCATTCTCTGGCACTGTCCAGCCCGTCCTGACCACTTCACGGGCAGCTGCTTGGGCCGCAAGGCCGCGCAGAGTGCCAGCTCGGCGACCTTCGAGGCCAGGACATCCTGCACCATGTCCGGCTTTCATTTCGCTCTCCAGCTTGCGCATCAGCCGCATCAACACAGGCATGCCCACACAATAAACAGCAATGCCACAACGATGACGCAACTCACACTCTGAGTTCGGAAACTCCTATACCATCACTGCATTTTTCAAGACTGTGGCATCTCACGTCGAAAGCCGTCCTCCCCAAGCAACCGCTGTGCCGAGATGTAGCCTGCGTGTGACGACATGAGGTATGATTAAAGATGCCTGTATTGATAACCGCCACACCGACCCGGAATCTTTCTGATTCCACGTGGGTATTTTTGAGGCGCATGGAATCGATTGTCTGGAATCGTATGGAACACGAAGGGCTACATCGGGTCAAGCAGCTAAGCCACTCTCGGCCATCCCGGGCCCAAGCACTGCCCACTAAGATTGAATGTGCTTTGAATATCCTTTGCGTCTCCTTGAATACCGTGAGTTGTTGGCGTAACTGGCGCATTGTATGCCAGGCTTCTAGTGGACAGCTTGCGGTTTCTGTCCCCCTATGACCTTCATGGACCTTACTTATTCCAGTGGGAGCTCATAACGCCCCTTTAACCTTGAATGGGCACATTGGGGATGGTCATGTTGCTGTAAACTCCGCCTCTTTTCGTTGGGCTCTGCCAACTACAGCACTTGTTTTCCGGCAGATATTATGCCGACTGTCGATTACGCACGTTTGTTTTGCGACGGTGTGTCTAATGTGCCTGTCAGGAGCAGCACCTCGCAGTTGGTGCCACGAGCGAGGACCTGGAACATGCTAGATTCGCGGACTGCAAAAGAATAAAACATCGATGCCAAAGGAGCCTTTTCCAAGAAATCGATGGCCCGCCATCTGCCAGCTGCATCATTCCCAGAATCACTCCCAAACCCAGACCCGCCCAGCTTTCGTCTGCATTGTTCCACACCGCAGTTGCCGCCTAGTAAGCATAGTGGAGGCAAGTGCTGCCCGGCGGACTTCGTAGGCCTCCTGCTGCTGTGCATGGAAAGCCTCCACCTGCCAAGTAGCCATGCCACCGCAAGTCCGAGATTCTCAGAATTTCTCAGGTTGGTAGATGGTTATAACTTATAACAACTAGCATTGCACAACGATTCCTGTGAGTCTTTGCCACATGTGTGGCAAAACAGCACCACAAGACTACGACAGCGACTACGATGACCTGCCTTGGTTTCTACCACTGCCACTTCCAAGATGTTTCAGAGCTTAAGAGCATACGACGCTGCATGGAGAGGTCGGGCTGAGCTTGCCGAAGAGCATTTGGAGCCTGCCTCCTCAAACAAAAACGTGAGTGCCAGCTGGTTACTTTAGACCTCGTTATTGTCGTTGTTGTCGTTGTTGTCGTTGTTGCGGTTCTCGTGGTCGTGCTTGATCGTGGTGGAGAACAAAATTCAGCTAGAAAACAGGCCTTGGCAGCCATATCTTTAAGGATGAAAAGCCAAGGACCACCTGATTGAACCTTACCGAATCGCCATAGAGGTCTTTTTGGGCACACGCTGGCACTCTGTGAAACAAAAGCAAGGGGGACCAAGGTCTCGCGCATGATCAAAAGCATGTATAAAACAGGCGGTCTACTTCCTGACTTACAGCAACGAATATAACTACACGAGGCATCGAAACATAGAAGCATACGGCATGGGATGTGCTGCAGGCCGAGAAAGGAAAACTCTAAATGTCAGTTCCATTCAATTCCTGTCCAGTGCATGCGCAAAGCACTCATGGATGAACTGGCATGTTCATGTTCAAACCCGTACGAATGCTTATGTGTATCTGCATATGTGTACATGTGTTTGCATATGTGTGTACGTGTGTACATGTATAGATGAATATGTGTATATATGAACATATGAATATATTAATATAGAATACTTGATCATGAGAATATGTGAACACATGTTTAAAACAAGAGTATATGCAGATGCATAGATGCATAGTATGCATACATGCATCCTTTTGAACCGCACTATGCAACTGCCTGAGACGGGAATGCGACTGCACCATTGCTCCACGACAGCACCAGATCTAAACATGTTTAGATGTATGATTGTATGAATGTATAAATGTATAAATTGATGTACGCAAATATGTAGATATGAGCACATGTATATACGTATATTCTACGTATATTATATGTATAGTATATGTATATTATATGTATATTGTATGTACATTATACGTATATTATGTGTATCTTATATGTATCTTACATGTATATTATATGTATCTTACATGTATATTATATGTATATTATATGTATATTATATGTATATTACATGTATATTATATGTATATTATATGTATATTATATGTATATTATATGTATATTATATGTATGTTATGTGTATGTTGTATGTATACTTTTGTATTTTATGTGTACATTCTGTGAGCAGGTCAAAACATGCATGGAGTGCTTGCTTAGCGCTAGTGCAGCTTGTAGTTTTCCCTTGCATGTGTAGTTTTGCAATTCGTAACAATGCCAATGTTTTGGCTCAAGTACCGAGCTTGTGCCTTTGAGCACGGTAGTTTCGTACAGTAGCTCTTAGGTTGCTGTGCGGTCCGACCGGACGCACTCAGGCGTAGCTGCACAAGTGCTTGAACTCGCGAAGTCGTAAAACAGCGTGACCGGGCTGCGATTGCATTGGCTTAGTGCAAGTCCAGTGCTGGTCGACTTCACAATTGGGGGCTGTTCTGGGAAACGTACAGCTCTTGTGCCTACGGCCCGAGTGGGCAAGCATTGCTTTGCTTGTCTGTCGCGGTCCGTGACCTGGACGCGTGGACTGTGTGCCACGCTTGCGGCCTGTTAACCAAGGCGCGGCGCTTTGTGTGCCACGCCTGCGGCCTGCTAACCAAGGCGCGGCGATGTCCGCAGAGGTTGCAGGTCAGGCCGAGGGCGTCACCCTCCTCGAAGCGATCGAGGGTGGAGACGTTCCCTATCCCGAGCGGATGAGCTACGTCGCTTGGCTTAAGTGGCGTAGGGAGACTGGCAGCCGTCCGTTGTCCAAGCGGGATGGGATCAGTACTACGCCAGAGCAAGAGGCGGCTCTCTGGCGGAAAGTCATGAAGTTCCTCCATGACGCCGAAGACGAGGACGAGGATGAGGAGGAAGAAGAAGAGGACTCCGAGCTAGTCCCTGAGGCCTCGGGCGCTGGAGGCGACAGTCCGCCGCGGGTGGACGTCAGCGCCGCGGCTAGGGAGCTGGCCATGGTCCCTACCGGCGCTGCCTATGTCCCTGCTACGGCACCAGGGTCCCGCCCGGCGGGACCGTCCGGTCCGCCGTCGACAGCAGGTTCGGTGCCAGGCACCGCAGAGGGCTTGCAGGCAGAGCTGCGCGCGATTTTCCGTCCAGACCAAGAACCGGTCGCGGACTACTTGACGCGCGTTTCGCGGATTGTCCTCGCGCTGAAAGCGCATGGAGTCACGGTGAGCTCCCGTGACCTTGACGCCTTAAGCACCAAAGCCACCCTCCTCGCGGATGAGTTCTCCAAGATAGGCGGGGACTGGCATCCGACAAAGATGGTCCGTCGGCTGCGGACCAGATTCTCGGTCGCGGCTTTGCGCGGTGGCGAGGACCCCGAAGACGCAGAGGAGATTCAGCGTGAAATCCAATGCATCGGGGAGCTTATCCTCGCGCTAGGGGGAAAAGAAAGCTCGAGCCAAGAGAAGGTTTGGAGCTCCCCGTCCGATGTGCCAGTTGAAGCCGTGGGGCCGCGTTCCCCAGGGCTCCCACAGCCTGCGACTGCAAGTGGGTTGGGGGTAGGTTTGGACCGTGGAGGTTTGCACACTGCCGAGGTTGCAGGTGGTCCTTCCGCGGCCCGTGACCTGGGCGCGACGGACGGCGATTCCCCTTTGCGCGCGAAGCTTGCGGCGCTGGAGATGGAGATAGAAGCCCTGAAGCGAGGTTCAGACGGCGGAGGTTCGCAGACCGGGTCCCAAAACCCGGCGGGCGATTTCGCCGCCGCGCTCGCCGCCCAAACTGAAGCGCTGAAAGAAGCGTTGGCGCAGAGGGGCGGGCAAAGCTCCATAACGACGGTCAAAACTGACCTCACGTGGCCGACGCTGACCGACGACAAGTCGGACGCGCGAGACGTTGTCCTGTTCTACGAGGAGTTCGAGGACGTCTGCGCGCTCGCCAACAACTGTCGCGGTATGAGTGCGCGCGAGAAGCTGCTAGCGCTACGCGGGCGCTGCCGCGGCTCGCGCATGAAGACGTACACGAACGCCTACCGCGCAGCGTGGAAGTCGGGAGAGGTTCTCTCCGACCCACAGGCGGTGTACGACCGCATCAAGAACAAGCACTTGATGTTCGGGGAATCGCGGGAGGAAAGAGAAGTCCGCGTGGATGGTGAGCATGCCTCCCTCGCTAAGGGTAAGCTCACAGGCCACCAATTCGAGCCTTTGTTTGAGGCATCGATCGCGGACCTTGAGGCGGTGGGTCTTGGGAAGACCCCACGAGAGTTGTATCTCTCGTACCTCCGCAAGATGCCCCCGTATCTCCAAAAGGAGATACGTAACGACAAGCGGTTGTGGCCCGGCGATCCCAAGGATGGCGGGCTGAGAGGGCCGCAGACTTGGGAGGAGAGCCACAAGGTCGTCTTGGAGTACGAACAGAGGGAAGCAGCTCACCGGGCTGTTTCCCACTCTGTGTACTCCACGACCGGCTCTCCAAGCGCGGACCCGTCGGTCGCGCTAGCCGAGGCTCAGAAGGAGATTAAGAGCCTCAAGGCCGCCGCTAAGGCTGCTGCGAAAGGAGCAGCTGCCGCGGCCAAAGCTGGCGCGGATCAGACGTTTGCCGCTGCGTCGAAGGGAGCTGGCAAAGGAGCGGACAAGAAGATCTGCTTCCACTTTCGCGACCACGGGAATTGCCCGAAAGGGGATGCCTGCCCGTACAGCCACGACAAAGAGCTTCGCAGAAAAGCTCTCGCGGCCAAGAAGGGTGACCAAACCTTTGCCACGGCGAAAGGCAAGGGCAAGGGGAAGGGAGGTGGTAAGGCTAAGGCCAGCGCAAAGCCTAAGGCTGCGGCCAAAGGCGCGGCAAAGCCACCAGGCACTGTTTGCCCCTTTTTCTCCAAGAATGGGTCGTGCAAGAAGGGAGCCAGCTGCGACATGGTCCACAACCTGACGACCTCAGGAGGGACGCCGGCCTTGCCTGCCAACTGGGCCCCGCCCTCCGGTGCTTCCATGTCCAACCCCTTCGCCGCGTTCAGTGTCCAGATAGGCAGCTCAGGCGTCCAGGCAGGCGTCTCAGGAGCCGCAGGACGCGCCGCCGTGCAGCAGCACGCGCTTCCGTTGAGCAAGGGCGGGCGGGACAAGTTCGCCACCCTGGACGATCTGCCGAAGGACTGGTGGAGCCTGGCAGACAACGAGCCAGGAGGCTACCAGCACAGAACGGTAGTCCAGGTGCTCGACCGTAAGGTCGAGTGCATGCTCGACGGATGCGCCGGCGCAAACCACGTGACAGAGGAGCTCGTGGTGGGCATGATGAACCGGGCTGCAGAGCTGGGGATCGGCACCGAAGATCCCGGCTTCCCGGTCGTGAGACTCGAAAAGTGGGTCCACCCCGAATATGTGCATGGCATTGCTTCGGGAGCCCCCGTTCCTCTGAAGGGGGCAGCAGTCTTGCGCGTTACGCTGCTGGAAGGCAGGACGGCGGACGACTGTCGCCCCAACACTGAAATTTTCGTGCGATGCAAAATCGCAGCCAGGGGGACGTCCGATTGGCACGGACTGATCCTCGGCGGCAGAGCGTTGGACTGCGCCGGAAGGATGGGCCTGGGTTTCAGGCCGGGTCCCGACTTTCACGTCCTCAACACGCTGGGAATCAGGATGCCCAGATGTGAGGATCACAGCAAGACCCGGAAGGACAGGGCCTACGCCTTTGAAGCGCGGTTGTCGAGCCTGGACGACGCGTCATGCACCGAGCCTGGGGGCGGAAGTCGGGAGCTCCTCCGCTACGACGGAGAAGAGCCGCTCGAGCTCTCGCCAGGCGACGGGGTGCTGGTGCCAGTCGTGCGGGA